ACAAAGTAACGTCACACGAACGCGTGCTAGGTATGATCTGGGATCCGGATCGTGATGAATTATCTTTCTCCACCCAACATCGCCAAGAGCATCTTCCGTACCTATGCGGAGACAAACGGCCAACGAAACGTGCGGTGTTAAGCTGCGTCATGGGCTTCTTCGATCCGTTCACGATCCACGGAAAGGTCATCGTGCAGCACTTATGGCGTAGTGGCTGCGATTGGTACGACGCGATTAACGACGATTGCTGGGAAACGTGGAAGCGCTGGATTGCTGTACTGCCGGAAGTCGAGAACATTAGGATTCCACGTTGCTATCTTGGAGATTCCTTGTCGTCTGCGGTTGAGTCAATTGAAATTCACATCTTCACGGATGCCAGCGAACACGCATACGGCTGTGTTGCGTATCTGCGAGTATTCTAGCTATGTCTCGATCGAAAGTGGCACCGTTGAAGCGCCAGTCAATCCCGCGACTGGAGTTGATGGCGGCTGTACTTGGAGCGCGGATGAGTCAAACGATGATCGCTACGCATTCACTGAAAATCGATCGATGCATACTGTGGACAGATTCACGAACGGTTTGGAGTTGGATCCGGTCTGACCAACATAAATACAAACAGTTTGTTGCGTTCAGGATCGGAGAAATACTGGAGTTGACACGAGCGACGGATTGGCGATGGGTTCCAACGAAGCAGAATATGGCGGACGTCCTGACGAAATGGCATCGAGGTAACGATCTGGAAAGCGATGGGGTATGGTTCACGGGTGCACCGTTCCTGCACCAGCCCGAAGACCAGTGGCCGACTATGGAGGTGACGATCGAAGAGACGTACGAGGAAGCCAGGGGCCACGTGACATTCCATGGCGTGGTTGAAGTAGACCGATGCTCGAGATGGACAACGCTGCAAAGGGTGATGGCGTGTGCGGTCAGGTTCATCGACAATTGCAAACGCAAGGTAGCAGGGCTGCCGATAGTCACCTTGAAGGCAACAGATAACCAGCAACATCAAATCCTGGTACCGATGCAATCGATACAACGTCCGCTCGAGAGAGATGAGTTTCGAACTGCGCAGATCATCCTGTGGAAGCAAGCACAGTTCGAAGGATTCCCAGATGTGATGAGCATCCTCACCAAGAATCTGGAACAACAACCAGATGTAGTAATGGAAACGGTGAAGAAGAGCAGTTGCCTGTACAAATTGACTCCGATTCTGGACAAAGAAGGTGTGCTGCGGTTGGGTGGTAGAATGGATATGTCCGTCGACATGCCTTTCGACAAAAGGTGTCCAATACTTCTGCCAAGAAAGCACGCGACGACGGAGAAGCTGATCCAGTTCTACCACGAGAAGTATGGACACGCCAATCGAGAGACGGTGATGAACGAGCTTCGCCAAAGGTTCTGGATTCCGAACACCCGAGCTGCAATCCGTCAAGTGATGAGCAATTGCGTGTGGTGTAAAGTCCATCGCTGTCAGCCGCATGTTCCTAGGATGGCACCGCTTCCGATACAGCGAGTCACACCCTATCTGCGACCGTTCAACTCAGTGGGTATCGACTACCTAGGTCCGATAGAAGTGACTTTGGGACGAAGAAAGGAGAAACGATGGGTCGCGGTGTTCACTTGTTTGGCTGTACGAGCGGTACACCTAGAAGTGGTGCGTAGTCTCTCAACGCAATCCTGCTTGATGGCCCTTCGAAGGTTCAGCTGTAAGCGAGGCGTACCACAGGAAATTTTCTCGGACAACGCGACGTGTTTTGTAGGTGCCGATAACGAGTTGAAGAAGATCAACAGCGACTGTGCGACCAGCATAACGAACGATAATACCGCGTGGCATTTCAATCCACCGGCCGCACCGCACATGGGCGACATCTGGGAGCGGATGGTGAGGTCGGTAAAGGAGGCGCTGAGGAAGAAGCGATTACCCCGAACCATTTCCTTCATGGGTCGGTGACAAGTGCGGATTTGGTGGTCCAGCCAGTGGACATTGCGGAGGCTCTACGAGATACTTACAAGCGTTCTCAATACCTGGCGAACCGAATGTGGGAAAGATGGTGCAAGGAATACTTGCCGACAATCAACAGACGGACGAAGTGGTTCTAGGAGCAGAAGCCGCTACAGGTGAACGACCTGGTCTTCATAGTGGATGGAAAAACCCGGAAAAGCTGGATTCGAGGGATCGTGGAAGAGATACTCCGAGGACCAGACGGAAGAGTGAGGCAAGCGATAGTGCGGGCGGCTAGAGGAGTCTACCGGCGTGCTGTAGCGAACTTAGCGGTGATGGAGGTCTGAAAGTAAATCCGGGATTTCCGGAGGAACTACCGGATGTTACGGGCTGGGGTATGTCAACACCGCAGGGCAGTAAACCCAACACAACGGTGTGCGTAGCTGCGGTTGGCGTACCTAATGTTATTGCCGTTTCGTACCGTTGTCAGAAGTGAAGAAAGGGAAGAGAAAAACAAAACCAAAACAAACCAAACACAATTTATGAATGAACATTGTTAGCAGATAGAAATTGTTAGCAGATAAAGTGAAATTATAGAGGAATTCAAGGAATATTTCGGATCATAAAGTTCGTCTATACTGTGCATCTGGTTCCCCTTCGGCGTCCCGAACATAGAAGGAAATTATAATTGTAAGTAGTTCTACAGGTACCTGGAAAAGAAAAAAAATAACACAAAATAATTAATTAGTGGAACAGGCGTATAGGAAAGCTAGCGACGATTTGAACGGGAGAATTCGTGGTAAATAGAAGGAAGAGCTAGAACGAGGAAACGGTTGTGTAGCGCACAAAAGCAGAATTAGACCACTTCTTGTAAGTTTGGAATCAAATTTATCGGATTTAATTTTCTAATAAAATCTTAATATTACAGTTTGAGCTGCCACAAAAAAGAGGCTGCTACAAAAATTTTGGTTTGGTATCCGAACAATGTCTGTTCCCACCCATTACATATCACCAGTTTTTCACCATGAAATATATCAGACAATATTCACATACATCTAATCTATCGCTAACCATGTTCGAAGCAAGTACTAAGTATGTGAAATTACGATAGAAATCATTCCATATCGCAGTCATAGTTTTTAAGTGATAATCCAATGGATTCTATCAATCATCACATAGAATGAATAAATCTGCTGACATTGCTATGTTATAAGATGGATCCAATAAACGGTACATGTCGACTTGTTTCAGTGTAGCGAACAAGACACTGCACAGTAGTCCAGAATGCAGATTTAGGTGGAAGGATATGTTTTGAGCCTGAAATTGAAACTTTAGACTAAAAGCACATAAAATATGTGGAACTTCATGCAAAACGGCTGACTAAAAGTTGACCCCTTTTTTGTGTTTCCTCTGTGGTATAACTGGTATAGTTGAACATCGATCTGTCAAAATTAAATTTTCGTTATTCGACAATGAGTCTTCATATGGGCCAATGTCGGAAACGTAAGCAATGGCTTCCTTCGTAAATATCTTGTAATTCAAAGTCAATCTATGTAACCCAGCAATTCTATCAGCCATGGGGACTCTGTCTACACACAAACATCGTGGTGGATTACTTGAGCGAATTTTCATTTTCAAGAAATTCGTAAAAAAAAGTCAGTGTTTACGTTTGTGACATTGGCCTGGTGCTAAAAGTCTCTTCTGCAAAGTTGTTCCTTATAGTTGGCCCACATTTTTATGACAATGCATTGTAGGGTGGTCAAAAATCTATCTTTTACCTTTGTAGAAATTAAGGTAGGTATACATTATTCGGTAAATTTATAGCTGAGCTAATTTCAAGCAACTTTGTAAAAAGTTTATATCTCTTAAATTGACCGATTTAGAGCTGAGGGTGTCTCTAAAAAAACACTTGTTTGCTCTAGCTTTCTTATTTAAAATTTCCCGGGAAACGGGTCTTGTAATACAGGTCTTTGTAGCATTCCATAATTTCACGTAATCGAATACACTAAATTTATAAAAACTGGAAGTCAAATCTCTTTTATGGAATAAATCGAACTGTTTGTTGCTAAGATGATTTCGGTGGTCCTAAAATGATGAATGGGCTGCACGTAAGGAGACGTTATTGATAATTCTCCCGAATATCCTGGTAAATACACTTTGACTAAAGTAACATTGGGGGGCCACCAAACGACGTGTCTCAAAAACCATTATTTTTTAGCGTGAAAGCTAGCGATCTGCTTTGTATGATTAAAACCCTGCGTAATATGTTAAACATTACTATCCCCATGAGATTATATGTGTTTAATTGGAAATAGGAATAACTTTTCGGTCATCAAAACAAAATTTAATTTTTTACGGATCGGTGCGAATGCTTCTTTCGACATAATGGAAAATTTACTCTTGAGTAGTTCTGTTCACAATAAAGTCAGGTTTCACATGCATACTACAAAATTACCTAGGGTAAACACGTCTATAGTTGCGGTACGTTAGAAGCGTTTGGTTCCTATAGTTGCTTATGGAGACTCTATAAGCAACTACAGGATCCTAACGCTTCTAACGCAGCGCAAATATAGGAGCGTTTACCCTATCCGAACGAAATCCTCCCGATCAACCTATACACATATTTATTCCAGTGCGGATTGAATCGGCAACCTGATGCGCTACATGGAATATGCATTTAGGAAAATAAGCTTTTCCACTTCAACACACATCATATCCCGGAAACAGAGCAGAAGCTTCGGCACTTTCAAGCGAGCGTGCGAAAGAGAACCCATATAAAAAATCGCCCGCTCAAGAGGGGTGCCAAAGTTTATGAGCTGTAGAACTCCTAATGTTAAGAGGATTTTTCCCTCCCAGCCGAGTTCAAAAGCCTCAGCAAATAAGCAGATTATGCGAAAATGTGCTTTCCCCGCTACACGCACGACCTGAGATTGGTAGAGATTATTTGTTTATGAGCATAACTTCCACTAATGCACGTATGCTTCTAGCAGTGAAAATTCCTAACTTTCGTCATCAGCGTCGTAATAAAATTCACACCTGCTGTTTGATACTATTTTAGGCTGTTCCTGTGCATGTGCTGTTGCTTCCGTTGTGGACCCGAGGACACCCAGTTGGATGCGGAATCCAAATCGGCCGGATCGAAGGCAAACCCGAGCAATACATGCGGCCCCGGCGCCGTTGGAAACAACTCCGACATCTCCGGGAACGATTCCCTAGCCTTCGCCGGCCGGAGTATCGTTCAACGCTCCGGTAAGTTTCCTACCACTGTTGGCGATCATATACAAATAAAATCCGTTGTTGCTTTTTTTTCGGCCAACCAACAGAGATCATGGTCCTAGAATCCGAGGATCGCGTTTAGCACCGGCTCCGATCACGTGACAAGCTCTGTTTCGATCGTCAACTCGATCAGCTCGAACCGAATCGCACAGGTGACGCAGGTTGGTCCCATTCGTCCAGCTACTCTTGATTGCATTCCAAGTCAATGCAGCGCTATCCTTTCCTTTAACAGATAATCGAAACCGACCCCGAGGATGCAACGTTTCGTTTCAGGATCACGTGGTCAAAGTCTTCTTCCTCAGCTAGTCAACTCAAGACTGTTAATGGTTGTGATAGTGAACGGTACTCCTAGGATGATACTCCTCCCGACTCCTACCTCCGGTGTGTGTGATGATTGTTGCCCCATCCGAAACGTTGACCAAAAACCCGAAATTTTAAACGTGGTGTTCCCTTCTCATCATATCCACCGTCGATTGTTAGCGTAAACAGTGTGGTTGCAAAAATATTGTGAGTTTCGAAAATTTTCCATTTCTAGTTGTATAGCTTTGCTCGATGTCTTGTTATGTAGGTAATCTGAAGTTTGGAAAAGTTGAAAAAATGTGATGCATTCCAGCTCCGCATAGAAGTGCGACTCGTGGTGCTGGTGGAAAATACGAGGTTTGTAATTTTGATTCTTTCTTCGAAAATCCTTTGTATGAAAAAATAATCTGTCGCAGGCTTAATGCTTGAAGCCTACTTGAACTATCAGTTTAATTTTAGTCAAGAAATTACTTTGCTTAAGAGCGAATAGTCGAAAAATGTTAGACTAGCTTAAAATGTCGAAAATGTTGTAAGATTTCAGAATCAGAAAATAAGGCCTATCAGTAGTTTCTTAAAACTTATCGATAATATTCCTTCAGCAGCTATATAAATGGTCATTAGTTGCTTATTTGACGCGTATTTTTTTCTAGTTTTCAATAAACATTAAAGTTTTACTTGACGAAATATTACTTAAGTCAATTCGCGGCAATATGAGCACCGCTGAATGTTAAACATTTTCTAATTAAATTCTTCAATTTTGCACTACATATTCTTTTTATACACGGTGTTCAATAAGTTTGGATACACTTTCAAAACATGTCAAAAAAATTACAATGCCATATATTTTAGTCTGGGTATATTTTATTGGAAGTACGGTTTATAGAGAATGATTACAGCATACCCCCTCCCCCTCTTTGAATCTCTTCACCAGCTTCAACCTTTTTGACGTAGGACTACGTCTCTCATTTCTATATGAGGGTACACTTTGTGAAAACCCAAAAAGGAACATGTAACAAAATTATGAAAGATTTCGAACGTTAATAACTCAGTTGCCCCTGGACCAATTTCAATAATTTTATCACTAATCGATCAGAAATATTCCTAAGCATCTGTTAAATTTAAGATCTTATCATTTTTTTAAATGTCACTATTGAAAAATGCACGAGTGTGCGACTGTTGCTATGATAGTTAAAATTATCATTGCATCCGGTCTCACCAAACGGTGTTTATTCAATCACCACGTGGTGAGTGGTGGTGTCCTCCGATACACAACGAAAGGTTCCCCGCAAGCAGCTAGCGATCAAAGCTGACCTCAACCGCTGATCGGATCAGTTCCAATTGATCAATTTAGATGGTCATGGTTTGAACCCACCACAGCATGCTTTTGGCGCTACTGTATATGGACGATCAAATGTAAAATACTGTGGTAGCCACAGTACAGTTCTGTCAAAACCTCAGCATTTTGATTGATCCATTATCGTGTGTGGTGATGTCTGGTCGTCGGCATCAACAGCAGCAGCAGTGCTTTCGGCACGTGGCGTTGAACATTGTTCTCCAGTACACAACGAAAAGATGTCTGGAAGCAGCGAGCTGCAGCCCACATGAACATCCAAAGAAGGAAGAAGAAGGCGCACCATTCACCACTCTTGCGACTGCGTTACTGTCTTTTCTATCATCGTTTGCTGAGTACCAAAAACTTGAAGAGAAAGGTATAAAAGTCACTAAAAATGGTGAGAAAGGTCATATTTTTCCAAATTGGGTGACTTCTGTGGAGTTTGCAAATATTTTAGAACATTTCTCACCATGATCCACAAATATTGTCGTAAGGGTTTACCTTACCATCCTTACCCATCAAAAATGGAGGACGCATGACCTCAGACCTTTATGGAAACGATAATGAATATGCGGGTTAGCCCACATGCATTAAATAAATAGGTTTACTTTGTATCAACAAATCATAATAGGGAGCTCCTTCGTCGCCGATTGATAATGTTCGTTTTTCAGACTCGAACCATCTCAACCTGTTCAAGAGATATCAAGAACCGAATCAGTCGTACAAAGCAATCTCATCATGCAAAAAAAAACTTCTAATCAAACGAACTATGCAGTTCTCTACAGCCGAGCCAAGCGCGAGAAAGACTTGCGAGACGCTGGATGACACGTTTAAACCCTGTAACATAATTATGCCACTTTCCCGCGTCCATCTCCTCTAGAACACTGACCCCCCTTTTGAATCTCATCCAGCAGCGAGGTTTGCAAGCATGCCAATCATCCAGCTTGTCAATCTAGAATAGCGCTGAGTAACAACAACATCGCAATAGTTTACAAGCGATCACTCTTGAGTGCAGAATAATAATACAAACAAGCATCGCACGCCACACCACACCAAGTATAGGCGCAGTAGGGTGGTTCAAAATGTCGATTTTACTCCACCCCTCTCAATCGATTCAATAAACGTGCTGATAAAGCCGAGGATAAAGCACTCTAGTAAAAGTATGGGCGAATGGAACCACAAAACTGAAAAAAATGTTCCAATCGAGCGAAGCAGGGCATTTTGAAGGTTTGATTTAAGGTTGAAGCTTCGATAGACGTACAAACTTTTACCATAGAGGTAACTCTAAGACTAGAAGCTCCCGAAATAACGTGCTCAACTTTTTGGCTCAGCTCTGGTACTCTCTTCGGTCCCAAGATAATCGATGCACCCCTCGAAACATGGGAAAATCCACTAACCCCTCATTTTATCTGTCAAACTTTCATAGCGAATCAAAACAAACATTGTGCAGTGCTAGAATTTCGACTAGAATCACACTGGGCCAGAAATCCAATCTAGCGGAGCAAAATTAATAACTCTGAAACGAAGCATTTCCGCGACTTGATGTCTTCGGTAAAGTTTCTCGGGACCATCTATTGACATAAAAAAATAATTCAAAACTCTTCCGCAAAGATGGTGCCACAATCTAACTTCTTTCGCTGACGTTTTGGAGACTTTACGTCTTGAGCAATGCTGTTTGCCTTGACAAAATAAACAACTCTTTTGAAGACGTAAGATTTCCACAGCCTACTGGTTCCGAGTTATATGGAGTTAAAGAAAAAAAATGTCGAAAATATGGTTTTTCTTTCCGTTTCGGTTTTTTTTTTTGTGAAGAAACATACTGGTTTGAGCTTTGAATTTTAAAGATATTGTTGAAAAACCGAAAACCCAAAGCGCAAAAAATCACAACCTGACATTTCAGCAAAAATTAAGCAATGCTCGATAAACAAAATATCAAAATTTGAGAGAGGTATATTTTGGTGTTTTTGAGATTTCATCATTTTAGTGGAGCATGTATGTTTTCCTTTAACTTTTTTTAATGCATTGAAATGGCGTTTTGAAGACTTGACTTCTTATATAAAATAAACAACTCTTCTAAAGAAGTCAAAACTCGACAGCCTACTGTTTTCGTCAAAACTTGTCGGTAAACTAAAAAAAATCAGTTGACCTCAGCTGTATCATGGAATGTCTTATAGCAGGTTTATTTGAAATTTGTTTGAACTGGGATCTTGAGCAGAACTGCAGTTGGTTGTTTATTGTTTATGGTCAGGGATCGTTCATTAATTATGTGACACTTTTAGGGGGGAAGTGGTTTGGGAACTGTGACGAGCCATACAAAAAAAAATTAAGTTTCATACAGGGGGTTTGAAAATGTTCCAAATTTGCGTGACATAATTAATGGACCTTTCCTCAGTAACTTGTACGGCGGTGATGCAGCATGACAACAGCGAATCTGAAGCTTGTTGCAGTGGTACATATTCACGGGACGGGTCAAGTAGGACAAATTGGACAGCAGTATGCCCTAATAAAAAAAATATCATATCCGAACGATAACCCAAATTATAGAACTATTTAACAAATGGTTTGGATGACACCTTTAACACGTCGTGATTTTTGGTTTCCTGTGATTAATAAAAATCACTGACGTGATGTTACAGGTAAACAAATAAATATACAATGTCCAAATAACATGTTTCAAAACGGATTCGAGCTATAGTCGTTATAATAATAGTCTGGCGGATAGAATCTCGGGAACCAATTGAGCTGTCAAATAGAGAAACCAATTGAGCAAATCACGACCAACAACAGAAAAGATCACATCTGCTATTGCGAACAAAACTTCGGAAACCCTTTTCTCGTGACTCAAGGCTCGCCTAAGCAAACTAACACCATCTTTGGATTGGCGAAGGTTTCCCCTATCCGATGATGCCTGTAATTTGCGTTCGATTGGCGAGGAAAGAATAATCAACGTTTTGTTATAAAAGTTCATGGTACCTTTTCAATTGTTGGTCTAAAATTGAATTGACCACTTTGTCAAGCAGTTTAGGCGTGACTTTCTACCAGCGATTTCACAAAACTGGACCAAAAAATTTCTATTTTTTTATGAAACGCACAAATTTTGGCTACTTTTCTCGAGGTTCTAGAAGAAAGAATCTCAAAATAATGTTTTATTTCAAAGTTCGAGTGGTAGTAAACGTTATTTTAAGTGCTCGAATAAAGTGGTTAATTGGTTCCGCTTTATGATAGATCAAAATTCTATCCGCCAGACTATGAATATAGCGACTATAATTCGAGCTTCTCGAAAGTGATCTAAAAACGTAGTGCATCACAGCCCTACTATGGATTTAACATTAAAATTCTAGATAGAGCTGGAATTAGGGCCAATGTCACAATGGGCTTGAACTGAGAAAAATGAATCTGAAGTTTTGAACAAAAATTATTAAATATAATTTAAACTATAAACCCATTCCTAGAAATGAACTGTTCCTAATTATTACAATATTGGTTAGCATTGTGGTGCATTCTGTGCATTATGGTGCGATAAATAAAAATATTATTATTTTTATTTACAGCTCGAAAAAAATGAAAATGTTGCATGCGCCTTTTTGATTTATAGTATCTTGTATCGCCCTGAGGTTATTCGCCCGGCTGCGTTCACAGAAGCTATTTCGCCCCTATGTTTCGCCTGCTAGTTTTTGAAATTGTCTGTTTCGCCTCAATGCTTACGTTCTTTTTCCTGATGGTTTGTTACTATCGACCTATTGCAGTTTGTTGGATTCTAGATAAATTCATGTGTTGGGGTGTTTTCGCTTATTTCGATCAGATTAACAATGTTTTCTTTTGATTGCCAACCGGTAATTGCAAGGAGTAGTG